CGTCGACAAAGGTTTTGGGATTATTCGATAGGATGTAATCAATTTCATTTCTAGTTTTTCCATCAGGGGAGACCCATGTCCATTTGCATTTTGTTTTCTTCTTAAACTTAGAGTTCATTAGGTATAAGTTGTTCTCCATTAAACATTCTGCCAGTCGTTGCCCATTCACGCTTCTTTTGCCATGGCCATATTTTCCAATTATAAAATCTTCGTAGGCTTGTCTAGTACCGATTTGGGCGTTGAAATCGCCCATGACTATAGTGTTTTTATTTTGATTGTTTCTTATGTGGTCCGCTAGAGTGTTATAGAAGAGCTCCGTCTCTGTTTCATCGGCTTGTTCTGTTGGTGCATAGATTTGTATTAGTGTCCATTGTTCTGGGTAGCCTGGGAGGAGTATGTTGAGTACAGCTATTCTGTCGTTTAAGCCTACAAATTCCTGGATATTATTCTTTAGAGATGCCTTTACAAGAAATCCTACACCTCTATGGCCAGCCTTTTCTCCTTTGTAATACATTACATATTTTGGATACTCTTCAATGCCTTCACCCAGTCTTCTCATTTCGCTAATACCAATGATATCCCAATTGAGGTTTTCAATCGCTAGCTGTCGAGCTAAAACTGACAGCAGGCCCAAACTGGAGGAGAGTCGCCTTGGACAGAACACAGTGGAAAGAATTGGAGGAGGCCTTTGCCGAAAGGCACACTGTAATTAGGGATATTTTATAATTTTAATTTATATATACTAACTTTAAAACTTACAGTAATAAAGGCTATTTTATTTTATTTTTTATTAACGCGTTTAGTAGAAACTTTTCAATTTAGATTTTTTTAATTTCCAAAAATGGTAGTGTAAATGTGTATATTTGGACTTAATTTTTAATAGTGTTAATCTGACACTTTCAGGTGAACAATCAAGTGAATGACGTCTGGAGAAACAGCTTCGTCGCTTCCAACGCTGGTGGTGCGAGGAATGAGTATGGCATATTACGTATTTAACGGATTTAGACGCGTTTTCCTACCAGTTCACTCAAAAACTATGTATAATATATACAAATAATATAAAATTATTATTTCCTTTTTATTATTGTGTATTAAAGTGGTTTAGATCAATTTTAATCATATTAAAACTGTTAATTCCGTATAAAATGTTAAAATAAATAATTCATTAATTCTTCCATATACATAAAAAATAACAATTAATTCTAGATATATGCTTCTTAACGTTGGTCTATACCTGTACGGCTGGACCGATATTAATGAAATTCGTGTTTGAGTTAGTATATATTGGTAATTATTTTGTGTATAACGTACGGATTTATAATCGTTGAATATAGGAATTGTGCTAATTAGATATTATTAGGAGTTAAATCGTCGTGGCTTAGTGGTTAATAGACATCGCCGGAGAATCCCGATGAAATAATCATTCTCACAAAAGGCCGATCACCTACTTGCCTTATACACAATCAAATCGGCTGAATAGTAAAAGATCTCTAAATTAAATGCTTTAAATGTCAAATATATTAAAATATTGCTTATTTTTACATTCCTAATTAAGTTTTTAATAATCAAATCAATAATTAGAACTCAGACTTTTACTTTAAACTTTATCAATTGCGATAGGACATAAATGCCTTCATCAATATTCTTACTAGTAAAATGTACCGTTATAAAGTACTCTTATGTCTCTTTTCGTCATAGCATATACACAATTTGATAGAACGAGACGGAAGAATTCAAGTATAATGTAATTTCTTTATATCAACATTCTAAGTAGCTAAGTTCCAAGACTCAGAAACGAGACTTTAGACGATTGTCAATATTATTTTCGACATTCCAGTACTTTACAGCACATAATGGTAACTTTTAGGTACAAAGAGTCACTGGGTGGTCACGAAACGTTAACTTAAAACGTTACGGCGCGTTACATGGGTGGGGGGGTTTAATGTCAAATCTAAAAAAAGTGACGCACTTGGAGTATTTTGAAATACAAAAATTATAGTTAAATGCTAAGTCCTGTTTCTGAATCTCAGCCAACGACTCAAGAATGTCCTTGCTTTAAATGGTTATTCCTTTAATTCGACAATTTGTATTTAATTCGTCTCGCCAAAGAAATAATCAATGATCAATTAAGTTTTGTAAAAGCTTTTATATCCTGTGATAAAAATTAAGCTGATTTTAAAGTATAGATAATGAAAAATAAGATTTTTATGTGGTGCCAATGAACGAAGTCTATGCAAAAAGCGATGAAAAAAGACGATAACACCGATTTTGTTAGTTTTAATCCTATATATTATTTACTATGTTTTAGATGTTTTACTATGTTGATCTTTAGCAAACATTTTAAAACAATTAAATGTGTAGAAATGATATGTGGCAATGATATAATGTTTCCAATTAAATATTATTATTTATATTAATAATTGTAAAGGCCAAACGCCAAACAGTTTTGTCAAGTATTCGTAAACGTATGGTTTACTACAATTTATTACTTTCTTTCAATGTGCGCATTTAACATTCGCTCGAACGTTGAAGGAAAACATCGTGAGAAAACTTGCCTAAGACCCAAAAAGTCGACGGCGTGTGTCAAGCACAGGAGGCTGATCAGCTTGCCTGTTAGATTGACAAATGATCATGAAACAGATACAGAAATCTGAGGCCCAACCCTAAAAGGTTGTGCCGCTGAATTGTATTTTGATTTATTTTTATAGTTTACTACACGAATAAGGTTAATGCGACTTAATACTTTAACCATAACTGTTGCATAATAAATGAATTGTATTACACAAAAAATATCGAATTAAGATCGTTAATTTTTTTAATTAGTTCAAAATACGCCCACGGAGCGCTTGCGCGTTTTCTCAATATACGTTACGTTAACTATTCGATTATAAGTATAAAGGTGTATTTTAAATATCTGGAACCTATTTCAGAATGCCTAATTTACGTTGAAATTTTATCACGATGTTACGTTGCCGAAATATAACATTCCGAATTAAATATCATTCCATTTGCATTTGCAACGAATTTGACGAATCTCTTGCTTTTAATAGAATTGTTAGTTTATAGATTATAAACAATATATTTTCCTATTTGACAAATAATGGAAGGGATGTCAGAAGGAATTCGAGACCATGGTTTCCCTCGTTTATGAATGGTCTGATTTTATCACACTCAAACGAACGTGTTATTGTCTTTCGTTTATACTTAGTTGCGTTTAAAAGATGTCATCAATAAATTGGACGAAGTGAAATGCGTATGTCTGTCTGTGTCAATCGTATGAAAGTTTGTGTGGCACTTTAAAACTTTACCAAGCTATGATATCTCTCTATCTATAACTATGATATGGTGCACGTGTGTGCTGTGGTTAATAAAGTGTTCTAGGTATTTATGCCTACTCAACTTTAAGCCGAAATCGGTTGATGGGGCTAGTAAAAGAAAGTCTATGTCGCGTATTTTTAAAATTATTGCCATTCAAAAGTTGTTAAATGTTATGTTCAAAAATATTATTACAACTATCCGACTGTTTTAATGTCCCATAGAATGTTGGCGAGTGACAAATAAATATGGCGCCTTTAGTCCGAATTATAACACAATTTCTTTTATTTGTCACTTGCCATTTTGATATCCTAGCGAATATTCGTGCATAATAAATTTCCTATATACTTTTTTATTTATAGTTACGAAAATTTCACAGCTATTCTTATTAAAACTAAATTTAAAGCTGGCCATAGACGGACCGCATGTTGCAGTCAAGATGCGGTTTACTCAGGAACTGCTCGAGCGGTCCGTGTATTGCGAATATGAATTTAGTATGGAAACTGCAGATCGCCGTGTGGCGACCGCTTAGAGCAGTCTGTATCGGCTGCAACATGCGGTTCGTCTATGGCCAGCTCAAGTCTTATCATGATTTTGGCAAATATATGAAGCTGGAGAGGCTGGCTAATCAACGGAATCTCGCTTAGACTCGCTCGCTTTGCATACATTATGTTCAGCAATTTTGCTGATAATAAAATTTTTGTATATGCGTCCCTATTTTCCAAGCGATTTAAAAGAAATTTGACCAACTGAATTCTAGGAATCAGCTAGTTTTCTGTTTGTATTGTTGCGTGCCATTTAAATAATAGCACCCACTATGATTGTTTTAAAGTATAATAAACAATAAACTTTTTGTAAAAATTTGTTGCTTACAAACCTTAATTATGTTATACGAATCTGTTGTGAATTTGTTTCATCGTGTACTATTTGTTAAATAGAAATATTATATATAAACTTTTAAACATCGAATCTAGAAAATCAAGGTTTTCTTTGACAATTCTTCCGTGATAGGACACAGGATTATCTACCATTAGTTATAAATATAATACTCTATTGATGTTTGATGTTATAATAATTATGTGTAGTTTGTACTGCTATTAAATTTTGTATAAAATAATCTTGTTTTTATTTAATTAGTGGGGAAATATGAAAATAAAAAAAAATGCTTGAAAATTTTTTATTGAACCCAAAATCCCAACACCCTTAAAAATTAATTTCATTGGTAATAAACAATTGATCTATAAAATGTTAAAAACAGTTGATTTTTTACGATTTTCTTAATAATGATATTATTTTAATTTAATTCAAATTGCCGAAATAGATATTATATTTTAAAATTTAATTAACAATTATTTCAAATACCAAATGAAAAGCAAGTTTTGTCTCGACTCGGCTAAGACTCGTCATCGAAAATAGTATGGCCTGCATACAACTTTGGAACGATTGAATTACGCCGTTTGCCATCGTTGAAAATTCTACTGGACGTAGTAAAACCAACCTTCTGCACCAATCAAAACAAAACATGGCTTGTTACTAAATATCTCCTATACACCAAGTGTTCAAGTCATCAATGTATAAACTTACACATGTAAAGTAAAAAACAGACCCTCGCTAAGTCAATATGTCATAGCAATACTTCAAACTGTCAAAGTAAGTATTCTATGATTGAAAACATTGTTCATCATTTACTGTATGCCATTATTGGCAAACCAGTTATCAAAGTTTTCTTGGGAATAGAGAGGCTCTTCAGTGTTCACTCCGACCATTCTGCGTGCTTCAGCTATTCTGCTGAAGCCCAGTGTCACACTCGGTGGCGGCGAATGTCCACGGCGGCGAGGAATGTATCCATTGCGATCGAAACCTGCCACAAATGGGACGTTTAATTTAAATATAACGAGGTTTAAAAGTTATGTTGATTTAAGTAACACACAGGTGCTACTACGCAATATCTTAAAATATATGTACATATATATATACATGTATTTTTAAAAAGGTCAAAAACGGACAGTCATCAAATTGATGTTAAAATTAATTAAATATAATACCTATGTAACTAAATTAACATTAACTAGAAAATAACTAATACTATTACATATTTACAAGAACACCCCAATTCTAACCAGAAACTGGACATTGAGTCATGGAATATGTCTACCCCTAAGTGCATTACTGTCTGTTATGAACTACGAGAATAAATTTACCATCAGTTGATCTATGATGGCAATATTTGATGGTGTGCGCCCTATCCCCGGTGGCGCCACAGCGTGGGCAGCGGAAAGCACGAAGGACTGGGCACAGCACACGACCACGGCTGTCCTTCAATACATGAGACAGGTAGAACTCTTCATTTTCACCATTGTTCTTGCAAAAAGCACATTCCTGAAAAAAATACTGATTACTAAAATTCTTTAATAATCTCTGACAAAAGAATGATGGTAAATTTTGCTATCAGTGAATCATTTAGTAAATTATCTATATTAATGATAATTTAAAACTATATTATAGCTTCACTTACATCTATTACCTGGCGTTGTAGTCGTTGTCTCTCATTTCTTATCTTAGCCACCTCCACCAGGAATGCGTACAATATATTAGGGCGAATGGATCTTAAGACATTTCGCTGATCGCGTGTCAGCATTGATACGTAGTAGTTAGCTGTTGACAAACCTAAAATAAATTTATCCTGCCTACAGTAGAATATGGAAAATTGTTTTCAAATTAGACATATAACTATCAGCTATACATACATTGTTCAACCAGATCCAAATTGTCTGTGTTGAGAAAAGAGAAGATATCAGAATCGTCAGAAATTCCATTCAAACCCGCGGTTGATTCGGCACCACTCTTGTCATCTAGAAAAATAAAGGCCATTTGTAAAGTCCATCTAAGATTCCAGAATCTAGACTCATGTTGAGTCACTCACCCAAGTCGGTTTTAATTTGATTTTCTGGTTGCTCGTTTACATTTATTTTTGAAAAATCATTAGTAAACCCATTAAAAGCACCGGAAGTTGATGGAATTGCATCTGAAATAAATTATTATTTTAAGGTAAATACTTACGTTATCTTTAAACAAATCATCAATATTCAAAAACATCGCGTTGTCAGATTGTCGTTTGTTTTCAATCAGTGTTTAAACAATAAACTACCTTGATCAGCTATCTGAGGTTCCATTTTATTCATGTATCCAGAAGTGTTTCGAGACTGGAAAGGAACTGCATCTGGAGAAAACTGTGTCCCAGTGTGGTTTATCATAGGCACAGTAGATCCCGGAGCAAACTAAAATAAATACAATGACGAAATTTTAATAGCATTTTCTAGATATCTAACAAAGATCCTAATAAAAACCAAAATAATATTTAAATTCAATTACAAAACCATAGAGAAATAATAAAATAATTAAAATACTACACGTCTCAAAATACATAAATTAAGAATCTAGAAATACGAGTAAAGTATTGACCGAATCAACCATTACCAAATCATAAACAGTTAATACTTACAGTATTAATAATTTCAGTAGCCATAACAATGCTTCTCTCTTCAACGTAATTGGGCATCATTGTCACTCTACTGTGACCCGAAGGGAATAGAACATTGGCGAACCGTGCAAAGCTTTTATAGAATCGAAACAATATATATATGCATAATATATATTGTAATACCATGGCATCGGCGACTGTCACTACCTGGTACCGAAATATCTATTACATCGAATATTTTTTAAACTACCTTCAATTTCGTTAAAGCCCACTATTTTGAGATACGTTGATTCATTGAATTTTAATCTACCTACAATTTTAAAATATTGAAGATTTATTATAAACCTTTTATATCATAATTAATGTTGACACATATTTTAAGTAAAAATAACATAAAGCACCTTTATAGTATAAATATAAATACAGTTTATACCTAGGTAAAATAGCCAAATAATGAAATTCGCCGAACAACAAAATGCCGTATAAATAATACATTAGGTACATCGTCGTTATATTATGTCGTACCAATATTATTCATAATTAGTACGTATAATGTAATAATGTATGTTTTACGAATACTTTATCGCAATATATTTTATTAAAATTAACGTAAGACTATTACAGAATATTATAACAGCACAAATTTTATGTACATGTGTTTATATTTATAACGTTACGAGAAATTAATTGTCCAATTTATTGTTTTTAAAATGTATGAGCATGAATTTAAAAAAAATGGTATCTCGTGAAATCATTTTCATCGTTTCACAATGCTCAATATGATTAGGTAGTGGGGCAAATTTCATTGAATAATAAATTCATTTGTAAAGGTGATTTGGGCAATAATGATGATTGGTTGAGCCCTTATACGAAAATTGCCTTCGTCCTGTCATTATTTGCCAAACTAAAAATATAATGTATTGTGGCTCCATACACGGCATATATATATTTAACCTCATGTCTATCGCAACAATGAGGCCATTGGGTAGAATACAATAAAAATATCTTTTTTTAATAGATTTTATTAAACTTTGCCTCGTTGCTTAGCCAAGTGAAACGAAAAATAACGTCCACGCGGGACGAGGGCTCACGGGGTATACATTTGTTCGAAACGTAAAATATAGAATCTCCGAAAAATCATACCATTATCTAGTAGAACAAGAATTAATCCTAGAAGTATTGTGTATCTGTATACTGGTGTTATTATACAAATATTGAGGTGCAATTACATTACGAAATTAGTGGCTTGAAATGCGCAAATTTTTGGGGAAATTAGTTTCATGCAGCTAATTACTATTACTGTTTTTTGGCATATTAAAGCCATGTACGAAAAATTTAGACTCCTTAGAGTTAAAAAAAGACATCCTACGCGAGTTGTCGCGTGACTGTTGAGTCACTGGGGTCTTTGGGACGGCCAGTCACTGGTTTGATTGGTCGAAGAACCTCCCTTTAGGTCCGAGGAAGTCTTCCGTCCTCCACAAATTAAAAACATTTAATTTCAATTATTTATATTATTCATAAAAACTATATCTGTCTAATTACACCGCTTTACAGTACAGGTACATGCTATATGTAGGTATACTGCATTGTAGGTATACTTTTTTATGAACCAGCCTTCAGCTGACGCACCCACGGCAGGTGTTTTCCTTAGACTAATTCTAAGTTAAAATTTAAACTAGATTAATATGTATAAAAAGCGTTGTCTCCTACCATTATTTATATGCATTATTATTCGGGAAATAAGCGAAAGCCCGAGTAATTATAGGTATTTCTCAGAGAGTTCAATTAAATTATCTCGAATGGTAGATTGATAATTATAATTAAGTATACACGCATGAATCTTGGCCCCACTCCGCATACGGACTCGCCTATCAACCATATGACGACAACGATTTAATATTATTTCGGCCATACAATGTGAGGCGATTAGAACTTGAAGAAACTGTACTTGTTTGGTAACACAGAAGACAAAAGATCACGTAGGCGTTCACCAATCAAGTAAAAGATTCATCATCCTCAAAACTATTCTACAAGAAGAAAGACGCTGGATAGTAACCGGTGGAAACAGTCCGCACCGGATGTTTCCTTGCTGGCCACGACGCTCAGACATAAGCTAACGAGCTAAGGGATTTAAATAAAACACTTTTTTAACGGATTGAAGCTATGTGTTATTATAAACTTAAAATTATTTTATATAATTTTAAATTTTTCCGATGTTTCGCGTGCTTTACAGGGTGCATGGTCACGGTAACTGAAGACAAAAGGTGTTGAATGTCAAAAAGTATCACAGCTGTAGAAAAAGTTATATTATCTGTATTTATTTCCCCGGAGTTGATATCGACTAAAAGATGAAGGGTTTTGGCAGAAATGACTCACGGTGTCGTCTATTGGTTTGCTGGCTTCAATCCGTTAAAAAAGTGTTAGTTATGTTAATAAAAGACTATGATTATGAGCTAAAGGGATATCTGCATGATGAGGGACACCTACAAAGAATTTTCATTTGCAGCGTTATTAGGTTTTGAAATCATGCTACATTATGTAGCCTATTAGGTACTATTATATGTTTCCTATTAGGGTAATAAGTGAAAAACTGTAATTAGTTATAAATTTATTTATTATTATATTTGAACTGTCCTTACTTGTACAGTAAGTAATTATTATTTAATTATTTGATTTACCATCGTATTTCAACATAAAAAGGAACATAAAAATTTCTTAAAAATAAAGTAGATTCATACACGATCAGTAATAAGTACTACAATTGTCACATTAAAAAACCATCTTTTATCCCTAAGTCAAGAGGTATCAAAGTCAGATTCCAAAGATTAAGACGGTTTTTCAAATAGGTACCCTAGACAATATTATTTTACTACAGGCATGGCCCGCCATTGCCAGTTGAATTTGTACGAAATTGACACCAAGCGTACACCACGTGATCGTGACAATTCCATACAAATTAAATTGGCGATAGTGCGCCATACTTGTTGTATTTTTTTTGAATAGGGCTCCATATTAAATCATTCTGCAATAAGGACCTCACAGACAATAATTAAGAACTAATAAGTACTTGTACAGGTTACATGAAATACTAACTTAAAGGTCATGGTACGTCTTCTCAGTTGATAACACACAAAATAACGGACCATTTATTTCGATATGTCAGATTAAAACTGTTCACCGATCTTTTTTAAAATGTGTGAAAATCATTATCTAAGATATACTTTAATAAAATGTCAAATCTTAAAAAATAATTCATTCTTGACAAAAAATGCTAATCGAAAACAATAAAATCATTTACATTCATGAATCTAAGAAGACGGCCATCTCAAAACGACGCTACAAATCCACAAAACCTTATTTCAAAACAGAAGTGATAAAGATTTTAAAAAAAATACTACTTTTTAAATTGAATTGATCAACAAAATCGAAAAGAACAAGAGTTATTAAATTTTACTGGCGTTTTACCATATTTAATAAACAAGGCAAATACATCACTTCTGTTTTCAAATTTGACGTTTAATTCGTGTCATACCTATAAACTAATGACCACAGGCGGCAAATATCTAAATGTCATATCTAATAGTACAGATTATACTTAAAAAAGATAGCCAAGTCTAAAATCTTTTCGCGGGCGTCACTCGCTGTCGCGTTATAAACTGATGGTAATGACAAATTACTTGTCACGATTCCATAAAAATTGACCGACGGAAACGAGTCACGATTGCGATGATTTTTTGTTTTGGCTCCCAGGTGTTTTACAACTACCTATTCATCATCAGTCTCGTCATTCGCCCCTTCGACTTCGGGTACTGGGTCCCGGCATTTCATCTCGTACGTACTAGACGCTTCGATGTCATCCGCTATGTTGCAAGATAAGCCTTCACGGCATATACAACTGAAAAAATAAAGATGTATAATAATATTCTCTCAATAGAAAAAGAGTAGGAGAATGTAACATTCAGATTCTTTCCACAAGAGGCAAGGATTTTGACCAACCTTGTTTTAAAGTTTCTATAGAAAATTAATTTGGCTAATTTATTATTGTCTAAGAAAATACCATTCGTAGCATTTACCACTACAATGTTAGCCTTCTTTACATGAATCTCAACATTGATAACGCAAACAAATATAAAACTAAAATACAAAGAAAAAATAAGAAATAATGTCCACTATTGGTGTTGTTTGATTCTTTAGTTAGTTAGTTAGTTAGTAGAGCGATGTTAGTATATTTTAAAAGAACTTACTATGTGTTAATGACTGTGATCTGTATCATCCTAGTCACTGGGTTGTATACCTTCCAACCGCAAGGCGTTTGCGGAGCACAAATAATTGCGGTGCCATTGGGATAGTTATCCCGCTGTAACAAATTCAATTAATTAGTACTAACTCTATCACTACCGTGGCTTACACAGATTCTGCGTTATTTGTGTGTAACTATAACTGTTTAAAGTACAAGCTAATCAACTTATTGTCTAAAAAGGGAAACAGACGCACAATTATGTCTTCCCCGATCAGTCTATCGGCAAATAAAAAAAAAATTATATTCACATATATTCATTCATTCATATATTCTTAGTGATAAGCCCGTTGCGACATTTATTAGGATATTTTATGTTCTTTGATTTTTTTATCGCTTTGTTTATTAATTTTAATACAAATTATGTATTTCTTTTATGAGACTTGTAGACAGAATTAGTTTCAGAATTGCAAACACTACTTTAATATTTAAAAATTGTACCTATTTATCGCGTTCATTTCATTTTTTTTAAATTCTGTTTAACCGATTATTGATGCGCCGATTAATTATATTTAGACTGACAATCTAATGCAATATGATTAGCCCCATAAGCTTCACGTACCATGTAATAAAGCTCTGAATTGTGTAAAAACTGACGTATTGTTTTGCAGAAACGAACCTATAAATCAAAATTTAATTTCCGGTTTTTGTTTTCAATAAATACAACTACTATCAGTATTGTTTATTCACGCGGTAATATACCGCGAAGTCCAGTAACGTACGAGCGTAGGAATGGCCTTGAACGTATCCGCAAAATGGTAATTATTATCTGTAAAACGAGCCA